CTTCAGAGGTTCTAAACTCTTCTATTTTATTTATTATTTTATTTATTTCTTTATTTATTATTTTATTTATAATTCTTATGTGTCAATAAATAATCATGTAGATAATAAGTATTTTTTGTCATGTAAATAATATTAAATAATAAAAAGGGATAAGATATTTAAACTATTATTTATTATTATGCTAATATCATCATAGGATATTGATTTAGGACGGTGTAGGATGCCTACACCTTCCCTACACGTAACCAACTCCTGAACTAAATTCTGGTTATGAAGGCCTTTATTGTAATTTCAAAATCTTTTCTTTTTCTGATATTTTGAGTAAAATACCGATGACGACTCTTTCAAACTTTTTCAAAAACCGTTGGTTAGGGATTAGTCTGGTGTCTGGGCATTCCCTAACCGATGAGATTTTCAAAATGGAAGTCCAAACCATCTGTGGACAAGATCAAAATTTTTTGGGTTTCGAAACATCCAAGGAGGTCCAAGAAATGTTGGACTGGATAGCCATTATCGGCCAGAAGGTTAGCTATGGCCACAGTCTTCCTAGGGAGGAAGATGTCAATAGGGTAATCCTCCATTGGTACCTTTCATTCGTAAGGTGCTATTTTGGGTACGATTTTTCATGTGAGGTGTTTTGGTAAAGTTTATATAGAAAGGTCAGAGGTTGAAAAAGATGAACAAGACCAATTTTTCAAAATGGAGGGAAAGTGGTTTTGAAAGGCTATTTATAGGTTCAGGGGAAAAAAGGTTAAACAGTTTCTTTTTGGTAGGTAGGGTCAGACACATCGCTTCAACTCCTCTCCCCACATTTTCCTTTTTCAATATTCGTGTGCTAATGATGTTTTGACATTTATGAGAATTAACCACACCTAACACACTTAGACAAAATGTTAGTGCACATTAGCATTATTAACGTTACCATATCAAAATACCCAAATGATGCATGGTTAGACGAAAGATGAAATGTAAAGATGATGCATGATAGACAAAACAAATATGAACTTTAGTATAACAATTGTTTTAATCCTAAGTGATTTCTAATGAAGACAAAATATTCCTTAGCTAGAGCCTTTGTAAAGATATCCGCCCATTGGTGATTAGTATCAATGAACCTTATGTCAAAAACTCATTTTTGAACATAATTACAAATGAAATGATATCTTATTTCAATATACATAGCTTTGGAATGTTGTATGGGATTTTTAAGCAAGTTGATGGCACTAGTCTTTTCACAAATGTAGACACCCAATTTCTTCCGGGGTACCCAAACCAAGGACAAAGATCTACTAGAGCGAGACAAACGGCCCTTGAGGGGCCCAACGTATTGGGCATCATTTTTGTTATGATAATATCTCTTGTTATAAACCTAAATTTGATGATCCGACCGTTGAAATTAAAGATCCATGTATTGAGAAGATATCATCAAAATTTTAGCATGATCTAACGGTTAACGAATTCTCTAGAAGTCTCGTACTACAACTAGAAAAAGTAGCACATACGGCCCCTAAGGACCCAAGATGGCTCTAAAAGGCCCAAAAAACTCAAAAAACTAATCTGGGGCGCGGAATAGAAGTTCTCAAATTGGAACGGGCTATTCCCAATGTCGGAACGACCCGTTCTAAAACTGGAATGGGTCCTTCCCCTTTTCAGAAAATTTTGCGTTAGGAAGCATTTTTTTCCTATAAATATCTCTTGCTAAAAACCTAATTTTCATAATCCGATAGTTGAAGTTAAGGATAAATGTATTAAGAAGATATCCTCAAAGTTTTAGCATGATCCAACGGTTAATGATTTCTCTAGAGGCCTCGCATTGCAACTGGAAAATATGAGTCTTATACCAGACAACATTTTTGTTATGATAGTATCTTTCATTACAAACCTAGTTTTAACGATCCAACTGTTGAAATTAAAGATCAATATATTGTGAGGATACTAGAAAAAAATCAGCATGATACGACGGTTAACGAGTTCTCTAGAATTCCTGCATGGTGCCTAGAAATATTATATTTTTATAAAATTTAGTCCCACATTGGATAACTCTCTTATGCTTCTGTCTCCTGGTTGGCTATATAAGAAACCCTCTAGCCAAGGGATTAAAGAACCGAAAAAAGCTACATAGCTTTCCTCCCCCTCTATAAATCTCTGAGTGATAGTGAGGATTTTGTAGAGCGAAGGATTGCCAAAATGCACCCTGTACGCATTTCCGAAGATTCCCTTATAAAAGGCTTGCTTCAAAGGTTCTAAATTCTTCTCTTTTATTTCTTTATTTATCATTTTATTTATAATTCTTATATGGCAATAAATAATCATGTAGATAATAGGTATTTTTCGTCATGTAAATAATATTAAATAATAAAAGGGATAACATATTTAAAATATTATTTATTATTACACACACACGTTTTATTCTTTTTCTTTCTTTCTAATTCACTTTAAATTTCTAACTAAAACTCTCCTCCCACCTTACACACACGCACACACGTTTTATTTCTTTTTCTTTCTTTCTAATTCACTTTAAATTTCTAACTAAAACTCTCCTCCCACCTTTTTAATTAACCATTTATTGTGTTGTCTTTTTATTTTTAAAAGTTAGAAAAAACACAATGATTATAATATTTTGTTTTTATTTTCTCTTATTTTTGGCCTTATATTTTTTGGTCATTTTGATTAGGAATTTATTTTCTAGTAATTTTTTAGGGCTATATTTAGTATTTTAGGAGTGGTGCAACTAGTATTTGGAATACATGCTTATTGGACTTGTTTAGGCAAAAAGAGAGTGGAAAGTAACCTCTCCAAAGTGGATGTCCACTTTGTGGTCTCCCAAACTTTCTCATTGGTTCACACATCACCACCAAGTCATATATTCCACACATTAGTCACACTTTTTACATACTTGCTTTTACATTCCATTTCTTACAAACAGACTCTCATCACACCTTTTTGCACTATATCATGTGGCATGTTCTTATTTGTTCTTCTAGATCTAGATTGGGACATCACTTTTGGAGGTAAAATTCAAATTTAAATTTCAAATTTAAACTATAATTAGTTAACTTGAGTACAAGTTAACCTGACATTGGCTACATTTAACTTTGGTTAGTTTAACTTTCACAACAAGTTACAAAATTCTATATATAGGATACTCCATGTAATAACTTGTCACTTTTGAATGATAAATGAGTTTGAGATTAATTTTTTTCTCAACTTCAAGAGTCTTGAAAGTTTTTCTCTTTGAGTGTAACCTCATTTGAATCTCATATCAAGGATCATTTTCTTGTGATGAGAAACCTTCTTGATTTATCTTCTTTTTAGGAAGTGGTGCCGCTATTTCTCAACCTTTCCACTATTTCAAGTTCTTCTTCTTCAAAGTGTCTCATGGATGAAAATCAAGGGAGTAGGAAGAAGTTAAGTGGAAAATCAATCATCCTTGAAGATTCTTTCATCACTTTTATATTTTTATAATTTATTCTTCATTATTAGAGGTCCTTTAATAAAATATTCCTTATATTTTAATACCTAGACAATTACTTTAGATTCATATTCCATGTCATTTATCTACATGTATCATGTTGAAACCCTACTTGTGAAAATTTTTGTAATCTCCTTAATCACTAAACTTTGTATCTCTAATTATTAAAATTTAAAATTTACGAATCTCCCCATCCATGAACGTAATCCTTGAAATTGTTTGCATGTGCAAAATCTAAAATTAGTTATTTAATTGTGAGGGAATAATCAAACTACTAACTCTAAGTATTAAATTAAAAAAAAATGTAAAAGATAAAATATTTAAATACAATTTTTTTTTAATTTAGAAACCTAATATAAATTCTCCAAAAAATGAAATGGTGTATTAAAATTCTTGAAAAATCAGCATGAATTCACCCAACTAATCACTTCATAAGATATTAGGTTAGAGTGATGATGTTAACATGTTAAAACTATATAAACATATCAAAAACATGGTATACACTTTTGATATGTACCTCTATTCTCTTAATGAACTTGAGACAAGGGTAAATGATGAAAATTGTAATATGTCAATCACTTGTACTACCAAATAAAAAGATACTCCTATTTGTTGCATATTGGTGGCACGAGTAGATGATAAATGCTAGTAATACTCTCTTACTAATACTCCATTATTAATTATAAATTACAAATTTTAGTGAACTCTACACTAATGAGATATGTGATTCACAAAAATTGTGATTTTTAAGAAATTTCAATTAATAATATAAAGAGTATTAGACAAAATGTTAGAGAGATTATAGCTAGCATTCTTTTAATAGGAACTGGCCTGTAAAATATTTGGTTCTGGTTCATTTCCTCTTAGGGGTGGGCAAAAAAAACTAAACTGAGCTGAACTGAACTAAACTGGTGGTGAACTGTACTATAAAAAATTGAACTGTTTGTAAAAAAAACTGAACTGAACTGTTTAAAAAAAACTGAACTGAACTGATGTAAAGTTGAACTGTACTGAACTATAAAAACTGAATTGAATTATAAAAATTGAACTATTTTTTTATAAAAGAATAAAAATTAAATATGTTTAACATGTTATGTCTTAATAGATTAGCTCGATAGTCTAATAACCAAAATTTTAGAAAAAAAGTGATTTGAAAAAAAATTATATCAATTTTGTGAACTTAACGGATCAATTGAGTTATGTTGAACTACTTATTTTTAGGTTTAAAATTCACCGAGTTTGTTTGACTTAATTTTATATTTTTTTCCTTTGAAAAATTTAAATAAAATAGAAAATAAAATAAAGTTGACAAATGTGTCCTATTTTGATAGATCATTGAGTCAAAATTGTTCAATTTAAAATATCATAACAGTTTAGTGTAGTTTAAATTGCAGTTCAGTTCAAGTTTTTATAGTATAGTTCAGTTCAGTTCAATGACACAAAAGAATAGTTCAGTTCAGTTCGTCTGAACTAATATTTAGTTTAGTTCAGTTCATATGAACTACTTTTAAGTTCAGTATAGTTTTTATAAGTTCAGTTCAGTTCAGTTCGTTTTGCCCACCCCTATTTCCTCTTGTTCTATATTAAGCCGCATGGTGTATAATGTGGGTAGCAAAAGTTCACATCACAATGCATCCCATGGTGTTTTCATCACTGAAATAGTCTCCTGCTCTAACCATTGGTCTAAAAAATGAAGGCTGAAAACTTGGCATGTCAAGGTGCTCTTCAACACATGCTTGAGGCAGAGGAGGAGCTGAATATGAAGGAATTGCATAATAGGGTACTGCAACAGCACAAGGCTGAGCAATATAACAGTATTGAGGAGGAGTTTTGATGTTACTATATGGGTTCATGTTCACCATGCTTGGATGAACCATGAAGTTCACTTCTTGAGGAGGCAAATGGTGATCTTCTTTCTTCACTTCTTGATGACCACAAGGGTTATAAGTCATCTTGTTGTAATCTTTTGAAGCCTTTTTCTTGCCTATGACATCCTTAGTTTTCTCAATTTTAAAGTCACATGAATGAGGCTGTTTCTCTTGTTTCCACTTAGTGTTCTGTTTTTCATTCCCTTTTGACACTCCCATTAGTTTATCTTCCACTTCAGCTTTAGCTTCCTCATAGCTACACACTTCTGCACGCTTTCCAACTTTTAGAAGCTTTTTGATCAAAATGTTTGGATTCACGTTTCCCAATACTGTTATTTTGGGCTGCAAGGGGTCTATGTCTATGTTCAAAACACCTACCAAGATGAACCAAACATGGTCAATAGCAGCACAAGAACAAGGGAAAAAAATAAAATATAAAATAAGAAAGTAAAGATTGTTTAAAAGGGTTGTGTTATGTTTAGTACCTTCAAGGTTTCTTAATGCCTTGTTGACTTTCCTCTTGCATCCTTCACAGCAATTAATTGACACCTTCAATTCAATCTTCTGAAGAAAAAAACAATCAAGGGAATTTCATCAGTGTTCAACCCTTTTGGTATCACAAATGAAAGAAAGAAAAGAAACTAAGAAAACATTTAGAAGGACCTTGTAGTCCACTTCATTTGACATGCTTCTAGCCAGTTTTTGAAATTGGGTCTACAAGGATTCAAATTGAAAGTAAGAAATGTAAAACGTACGAAACAGTTAGTTTTTGCAGCCTAATGTTCAACTGGTAGCCACTATATATAGAGGATTAGTGCAATACATCTATATGAGCCTTTTTATTTTTATTTTTTATAATATTATTATATGGTACTGTGAATGTAACTTTTATTGTTGTTAGAACGAAAAAGCATTTGGCGACAGCTTTCTCTGTAAGCAAAGCTAACCCTTCGGATATTCACAAGCTCTCTTCTCAGCCGTTGCTTTTGTACAATTCGCCGCATAATTTAACTCTCCATGAAACATTTTTGGAGTCCGCTTGATTTTGTGGATTGCATCATCAAAAAGTATAATTGTAAATAAAAGGTAATCCATCAAATCACTTCTCAAGAATACAGATTAGTGTTTATTGTTAATTTTGACAAATTGTGTAGATTATATTTATAAGAAAAAAAATAATTTTGATATAAATAATTTTATTTGATGGGTAAAATAAAATTACTTTTAAAGTCTAAATATAGATGTGTTTTATTTATTCCAAACCCAATCAATTTTTGTCGATGAAAAAAGTGAAAGGCTTTTTTTTTTAACCAGCAAATTTAATTTTCAAATTTTAAAATCTAAAATAAACATTGAAATATGATACGTTACCGTGCAACTTATTTTTTTATGCATCAAATGTGATTTTAGGTTTTATCCAAACTGGCAAACTCAACATTCATACAAATCGCGTACCCGGGTTTTATAAAGAAAATTTGTAATAAAAGGAGGAACGATATCTTTGCAAGCAAAAGATTCGTTGAAAATTTCCTCTTGAGCCTTAGTAGTGAACCAATGATGAGAAGGTTCTTCCATGGCTTCCTCTTGAGGGGAAGGTTCCTTTTTCTTCTTCCTTGTAGAAGATTCACCTTCATTAGGCTTAGAAGGTTTTGGATATTCACGGTTTGCCCTGTGCTTCACCCTTTTGCCTCTTCCAAGATCTTTCATTATTGATTTTGAAGAGTACACAAGAGAGGGGTTTAGGTTTTGAGAGAGTGTGTCTAGGTTTTGAGAGAGAAAATGCGAGAGAGAAGGTTTGAATGTGAAAGGTTTCAACTTGGGAAGGTTTTTAAAAGTTAAAAAAAATCAGTAAGAAGTAGTTTTTAAGCAGTTACGATGCAGGTAATCGATTATCTCCTTTGGTAATCGATTATCTCGACTAACTGAGAAGAATTTTGGTCTCTGGGTTCAGGGTAATCAATTACTAAATGTGGTAATCCATTATCACAATGAATGTGTAACAAATAATGTGATTTTTACCAGGGTAATCGATTATCTTGAGTAGTAATCGATTAACACGATGGTTCTTGACCTTTTTAACCTTTTTTCTCAATGGTAATCGGTTAACACGAGCGGTAATCGATTATCACAGAGAATATGATGTTTTCTAGTGTAATTTGTGATCCTAAGTATGAACAATTTAATACTCATGCATATTACACTCATACAGCTATCGTTTGCATGCACAGTTCATTTATTAACATATACACAAGTATATATTGAGATTTAGGCAAGGTTATACTCACTAATGATGCCAAGAATGGTTCTAAGCTTGTAATACCTTTCCTTTGGTAGTGGCTTTGTGAATATATCAACCAATTGATTTTTTGAATCAATGAACTCAATATCACAGTCACCTTTTTCCACATGATCTCTTATGGAATGATGTCAGACCTCAATATGCTTTGTTCTTGAGTGCATAATTGGGTTCTTTGAGATGTTGATAGCACTTGTGTTGTCACATTTCAGTGGAATGTGATCTAGCTTCAGTCCATAGTCTTAAAGTTAATGCTTGATCCATATAGCTTGAGCACAACAGCTACCAGCTGCTATATATTCAGCATCAGCTATAGAGAGTGCTACACAAGCTTGTTTCTTGTAATGCCAAGATACAAGAAATTCTCCAAATATATGACATGTACCACTAGTTCTTTTTCTGTATAACTTGCAACCTGTAAAATCAGAGTCAGAAAATCCAATTAAGGAAGGAGATGTACCTTTAGGATACCACAATCCTACATTGAGGGTTCCTTTGAGATACTTCATAATCTTCTTCACAACTTTCAAGTGTGATTCCTTTGGAGCAGATTGAAATCTAGCACACATACACACACTAAACATTATGTCTGGTCTACTTGCTGTGAGATATAAGAAAGATCCAATGATTCCTCTATATCTTGATTCTTCTACTTCCTTTCCTGCAACATCATTGTCTAGATAACAGTTAGTGGACTTAGGGATGTTTGAGATTTTACAGTTCTCCATATCAAACCTCCTTAGAAGTTCTTTGTTGTACTTGGTTTGATGTAGAAAGATTCCCTTCTTCATTTGTTTAACTTGTAATCCTAATCAGAAACTTAATTCTCCCATCATTGACATATCAGGAAACTTAATTCTCCCATCATTGACATATCAAACTCGCCCTGCATGCTTAAAACAAATTCCTCACAAAGAGATGTGTTAGTCGACCCAAAATTTATATCATCAACATAAATTTGAACTAACAAAATATCTTTTGAGGCTCTCTTTATGAAAAGAGTTTTGTAAACATTGCCTTTTTGAAATTCACGAGACAAGAGAAACTTGCTCAGCCTTTCATACCATTGTGTAGGAGCTTATTTAAGCCCATACAAAGCCTTCTTAAGCTTGTATACATGTTTAGGAAATTTTTAATCAATAAAACCAGGGGTTGGGATATATACACTTCTTCTTCAATAAATCCATTTAAAAATGTACTTTTAACATCCATTTGATACAATTTAAAATCATAAACACATGCAAATGCAAGGAAAAGCCTTACAGCTTCTAGTCTAGCTACAAGTGCATAGGTTTCATCATAATCAATTCCTTCTTTTTGATTATAACCTTTAGCAACAAGTCTAGCTTTATTCTTAACAATTACACCATCCTCATTCAATTTATTTCTAAACACCCATTTAGTACCTATGACATTCATATTGTTATTGGAGGGAACTAAGTCTTATACATTGTTTCTCTTAAACTGATTCAACTCATCATGCATAGCCATTAACCAAAATTCATATTTTAAAGCATGTTCACCACATGATGGTTCAAGTTGAGAAACAAATGCCATATCATCATAGAGAAGATTAAGAGTATGTCGAGTAGAGACTCCCTTATCTATATCACCTATGATGTTGTCTAGAGATAAATCTCTTGGTTTCTTCCATTCTTTGGGTAGAGGAGTTCCAACATTGGTGTAGGTTGTAGTTGTTGCTCTTTGCTTTGCTCTTCTTGTTGTGTTTCTTCATTACCTGTCTCATCCTCATCATTAAGCAAACTTCCCTTCTTGAGGGGGTTAGTTTCATCAAATTTAACATGTATTGATTCTTTTACAACGAAATATCTCTTGTTAAATATCCTATATGTTTTACTAGTTGCAAAGTATCCAATAAAGACACCTTCATTAGCCTTGGCATCAAACTTTTCAAGAGTTTCTCTTCCATTATTCAGAATAAAACACTTACAGCCAAACACTTTGAAATCTGAAATGTTAGGCTTTCTATCTTTGTAAAGCTTATATGGTTTTTTCTTTAAAAAGGGTCTTATCATGATTCTATTTAGAACATACCATGTAGTGTTAACCGCATCGGCCCAAAAATATTTTGGCAAATTATTTTCATTTAACATGGCCCTTGCTAGCTCTATTAGAGATCTATTTTTTCGTTATACAACTCCATTTTGTTGAGGAGTTCTAGGGGTAGAAAAATTGTGATTTATCCCATGCTTTTCAAAAAAATTTTGAAAATTTTCATTTTGAAATTCACCACCATGATCACTTCTCAAAGATTTAAGTTTCAAATCCTTTTCATTCTGAATTCTTTTCGCAATAATTTTGAAGGTTTTGAAAGCATTTTCTTTATGAGATAGAAATGCAACCCATGTAAATCTAGAGAAATCATCTATCATGACAAAGCCATATGTGTTGCCACCTAAACTCATGGTTCTTGATGGTCCAAACATATCCATGTGCAAAAGTTCAAGCGGTCTAGAAGTAGAAACAATTTTCTTATTTTTAAAAGATGTTCTAGATTGCTTTCCCTTTTGATAGGCATCACATAGTCTTTCATTCAAGAACTTAATTTTAGGCAGTCCTTTAACTAGATTCTTAGATGCAAGTCTATTCAGTTGATCTACATTTATATGAGCAATTCGCTTATGCCATAACCATGTTAAATCATCAATAGAAGAAAGACATGTAATATTAGATGCATTATTGTTGAGATTTCTGTTGAAATTACATTTGTTCTCTCAACGGACTCAAACACAGCAAGTATAACGGCCGTACAAGTAGTAAATTTATATCGTATCCAAAGGGACTAGTAGGTAAAATGGTGATAGCCTCTTCGGCGGTTCTGAACATGACTGACCCACCAAAAGAAGTATCTAGTATCATCTTGGTTTGAGGTTGTAACCCATTATAGAAAGTTTGAACTTGCAGCTCCACCTCAAAACCATGATTAGGGCATCTCCTCAATAGTGATTTGTACCTCTCCCATGCTTCACATAATGGATCATCCACACCTTGAGCAAAGGTAGTAATAGCAATTCTGGTCTCAGTGTTCTTGGAAGGGGAAAGAACCTGGCTAAGAATTTAGTCTCCACATCCCTCCAAGTGGTTAGGCTTTGTTTGGCTGAGAGTGAAGCCAAGCCTTAGCCTTCCCATTCAGGGAAAATGGAAACAACCTCATGAACAATGCCTCTTCATCAACCCCTGAAACTCCAACTAAACCACACAACTCATAGAAAGTATAGAGATGAGTATGTGAGTCTTCATGATCCAGGCCAGAAAATTGATGAAAGCTAATGAGCTGTGGGAGTGCGGGCTTCATTTCCGCTAGTCTCCCATTCATTGTGGGTCTCACGATGCTAGAGAATTCCCTCGGGCTAGTGTAGGTGAAAGCATCACCTATAATGCGCCTCCGGTTCAGATTGTCATTGTGAGGACCACCTTCACCTCCACCCTCCATAGTGAACTCAGGAATAGCAGAGACAAAAACTTCAGGAATGTGATTGGTTGGTTGGCCAACTGGATTTGCTCTATTTCTCCTTCTCCTCTTGTTGCTATTATTCCTCCTTGTCGTGCGTTCAATCTCATAATCGTTCAACAGTGGCTCAGAAGAATTGGTCCCTCTGGTTCGAATAGTACCTTGCATACAAGAGAAAATAAAAGACTAGAGTGCACAAGTCAGCTCAAAGAATTCATTGCTGAAATAAAAATTAACAATAACAGTAAAGGAACAAGTCACAAATAACTATAAATACTAAATTGCCTTACTAATCCCCGGCAACGGCGCCAAAAACTTGTTGAGATTTCTGTTGAAGTTACTTTTGTTATTATTTAATGGATCATCCACACCTTGAGCAAAGGTAGTAATAGCAATTCTGGTCTCAGTGTTCTTGGAAGGGGAAAGAACCTGGCTAAGAATTTAGTCTCCACATCCCTCCAAGTGGTTAGGCTTTGTTTGGCTGAGAGTGAAGCCAAGCCTTAGCCTTCCCATTCAGGGAAAATGGAAACAACCTCATGAACAATGCCTCTTCATCAACCCCTGAAACTCCAACTAAACCACACAACTCATAGAAAGTATAGAGATGAGTATGTGAGTCTTCATGATCCAGGCCAGAAAATTGATGAAAGCTAATGAGCTGTGGGAGTGAGAACCGAAGGAAAGATCCACACACGAATGGTCCCAAGCACTAAGAATCCCTTCCTTAGCTCCTAGAAGTCGTCCAATGTGTGAATGAGGGAAAAATCCTCGAAGTCTTGATCAAATACGAGCTGGGTGAGTCAGGTTAGGGTTACCACACATGGCGCATTATGCTTTGTTCCCGGCGCAGGGCCTTCTAGAGAGTTTAGTTACTCTCTGTCTCAAGACACGCCCGACGCAATTACTTTTAAGTCGGGCACGATGTCTTCCAGAGAGTTTAAGTGCTCTCTAGCTCGAGCACGCCCGGCGCGTCTTCTTGCGCCCGACACAGTTCTGAATTATAGAGAATGTGGCTCTCTATTTTTCTTAAGCTCAATGCAGGTAGTCTTGCACCCGGCGCAGGTACTCTTCTCCTGCTCCTTAGCTCCTTTAATTTCCAATCCAATGGGTCTTCAACTTTCAACTCTTCACTCAATACCTGCACAAAAAATGAGGTGTATCAAGGTATTGTTAGATGAGATTGGGTTAGCTATATCTGCACAAAAATTGAACCAAAAAGAGAACAATTATCTTGCTAGGGTGCATGGGATGAGTGGAATTGTTCAATAAGTCTTATCTAAAAAGAAGTATAATTGAGACTTAACAACTCCCCCAAACTTAGAACCTTGCATGCCCTCAAGCAATAGGTAATTGATCTGGCAGATACCAAGCAATGCATGTATGTCAAATTCCAACATTCTAGCTCACTTGGATTTTCTTTTCGAACGCATAAACCTTAGATGAACTTTCAGTCACAATTATTGCAATGGAACATGACAAGGTGCAAACAAAGGTTTCAAAAGAGATCAAAGAGCTGAGGAAAGTTAATGGTCATCTATGAATGCATCCTCACTAGGAAAGTGTTTCTCTCTGTGCACACTGGTGTATCACGGTGAGTGTTTCTCTCAAATCTACTACTCACGCCACATAATTCAACTTTGCTCTTCGTTTCCAAATGGAACCAATGGTAATGCAAATGCAGACACTTATCACAAGGTCTTTATTAGGGAAATTTGGGTTAAGCAATAGCAATCTTATGGTTTGTCAAGGATTGAAAGTGTTATGGCTTAAGAGAGCAATTGAAATTTTTACAATGATATCCCTCTCCACGACCCAATACAATAATTTAGAACATGCCCTTAACCGGATCCAAGCCACTAGCCTTTATGTGATGCATATTTACACTTTTGCATCATTGTATTTTTGTTTTGTTTTCTCTTTGTTTGTTTTTTTTTTTAATGAAACAATGACCATATACTTTCCTTTTCCCAGAAACCCTCATTCTTTAACTCCCCCAAACTTGTTTCATGTCATCAATTACTCTCTTAACCAAAGCAAGGGTTATGGTTAATTTTTCACAATTTGGGATAAGTAGAAGGTGTGGTGTTTAGGCTTAGGAAGTTATGGGTCAAGTGAAATGTGGAGGTGGCTTTTTGGCTTAGACGGTTAGCAAAATAAGGAAATATGAATGCCTTGATCATATAAATGCACAACATTAGCAAACCACTAGGGAAACTCAAGCAAAGTCTATCATGCAACTTAAGGATAGTTCACTCATTAGCATTCAGGGACTCAAAACCTCACCTGGCTATGCATCCAAAGATTATCAAACTTGGCTCA